AAGAGATGGGAGTACATGACCATCTTATTTGTCTCCTGGGAAACCTGTATGTGGGCCAAGAAGCAACAGTGGGAACTGGATAAAGAACCACTGATGGGTTCAAAATTGGTTCAAAATTGAGAAGGGAGTTCAGTTAGGCTGTGTATCCTTCTCCTGCCTATTTAATGTGTATATAGAACACATAATGCAAAAGGCTAGAGAGGAGGGATCTCAAGTGGGAATTTATATTGTTGGGAGAAATGTCAACAACCTCAGAGGCCATGAAATTGCATGAAAACACACCTAATAGCGGACAATGAAGGGGAACTAATAAGCCTCTTGATGTGGGTGGAAGAGAAAGGCGGAAAGGTTGGCTTGTAACTTAACATTAAGCAATCTATGATAATTAAATGCAGACTCATCTCTTCCTGGAAAATAGATGGGGAGCAATTGGAGGTAGTGAGAGTTTTTATTTTCCTGGGCACCAAGTTCACCGCATGCAGGAACTGTACTGAAGAAATTAAAAGACGCTTGCTCCTGGGGAGGAAAGTTATGGCAAATCTGGACAGCATACTAAAAAGCAGAGACATCACACTGCAGACAAGAGTGCGTATAGTTAAGGCTATGGTTTTCCCAGTTGCAATGTATGGCCCATACATTGCAATGTATGGAGCCAGTGTGGTGTAGTGGTGAAGAGCATGGGACTGGGAATCAGACTATCTGAGTTCGAGTCCCCACTCAGCCATGGAGCCCACTGGGTGACTTTGGGCCAGTCACAGACTCTCAGCCCAGCCTACCTCACAGGGTTGTTGTTGTGGGGAGAAGATGGAGGAGGAGAATGATGCAAGCTGCCTTGAGCCCTTTGTAAGAAAAAGGCAGGATATAAATCGAAATAAATAAAATACATTGAAAGCTGGACCATAAGGAAGGCTGAGCACGGAATAATTGAGGCCTTTGAATTGTGGTGCTGGCGGAGACTCCTGCGAGTCCCTTGGACCGCAAGGCGATCAAACCAGTCAGTCCTAGAGGAGATCAACCCTGACTGCTCTTTAGAAGCCCAGATCCTGAAGATGAAACTCCAATACTTTGGCCACCTAATGAGAAGGAAGGACTCCCTGGAGAAGAGCCTGATGCTGGGAAGGATTGGAGGCAAAAGGAGAAGGGGGCAGAAGGGGTCACTGGGACAGTGGGTGTGGGCTTGGGTGGACTCTGGGGGATGGTGGAGAGCCTGGGGGAATGTTGTCCATGGGGTCATGATGGGTCGGGCATGATTTTGTGACTAACATAAGAATGACAACAACAACGATGATTTAATATCCATCTGTTGGTAAAGCTTAATGAAAAGGTTTGACTTTACTGTGGCTAGAAGAGATAGAAATTTTTGCTTTCTCATGAACTGGTTAGATTTTGAAATTATTTGCTATATTTATTTTTTTATTTTTTTATTTTTAGCCCACCATATTAGCCATGAAGCTACTATTAGATTTGTGTAATATGCCCTGGAATCCTTTCTCTTTTCTATACAAACAATTTTTTTTCAAAAAATCTAGTAACTTCCCCAGAAGGGTGCTTCCAAGCAACCTCTCATATTGCGCCAGGTTGGGTCAGGAAGCTGCGAAATGGACACTGACCTCCCTTTCCTTTCTTATGAACGTTGTTGCCACTGGAGGGTCCGAAGAACTCGTTGTGGAGATTGTGCATTCTTCAGATGAGTAATCTAGGCCGGAGTTCAGAACAAGATAAGGCTCGTGTGTAGTTCCCTCCCTCACTGGCTAACTGTGCCTTCCCCTTCATTTTTTCCTTGCCTCTCCATGACCCCCACCCCTAAATGGAGGCAGCTTTCCAGAGTTTAGACTGGGGGTCTTTCCCAGCTAACTAGAGAGCTTGGGACCACAAGTGGGGAGAACTGGGCTAGTGCTTCCCTCCAAGAAGGCAGTTAGCTGAAGACCTCGGGACTCTTTCAGTGTTTGAACCATTTCAACCAGATACTTATCTGGGTCTTGGGTGTGCTTTTATTGAAGTCCATGCTGTTTGCAATTCATGCACACCCGGTTATGTGTATTAAAACTGGGAAAATAAGAAATTAAACTCAGGTGCCTCTTGGGGACCCCTTCTTCGGGTTTCAGGTTGGGGATATCCTCAGTCCCCACACCTGTTCCCCTCTGCAGTGGGGCATAAGGACTCCTGAGGGTTACGCCCCCGTTACAGGTTAAAATATTCAACTCCCAGTTATGTCCATTCAGGTGCTCTCTGGCAGGGGCAGGCAACTTGGGACTCTCTAGGCACTATAACTCCTATCTGCCCTAGCCAACATAGCCAAGGGTGGGGATCATGAGAGCTGTTGTCCAAAATATCCAGAGGGTCACAAGCCCTCACTTCTTTCTGCACTTGGAAGACCTAATTTTTAGGTGGGCTTGCATAGCATACTGTCCTGTTTTTATTTCCTTCTGTCTGATTACAGAGAGGTAGACAGCAAAACTGGATGCTTTAGGCTCCACTTTGGACTGGTTAAGACTCATCCTCCATGGCTCGATGGCAGACAATGTGTGAAAGGTCCCCAGCTTTCCCTGGCACCCCCAAATTGGGCTGGGAAAGACCCCCTTACTGCCCCTCACTCTTAACATAACTGGGCTAGATGGGTGTGACCTGGGCAGCTTTCCATGTTTCTATTTAACTGGCCCTTTAAAAAAGAAAAAAGAATGATGGAGAGTAAAATCTTGTTTTAGGACACCAGTAGACAACCCAGGACCTGGATTCAATTTCTGAGATGCTCACAGCAGGTGCATCCTAGCTGTGGGAATGACAGAAGATTCTGCCATTTTTTAAAAGCTTAATAAATCCTGGTAAAAACCTTCAGCCTTTTGGAAAGGTGATGGTAGAATATATTAAAACCAGAAAACTTTCTAAAATGGATGGTGGGGCAAAAAGGCGTGGAGCCATGGGAAGAGGTCCTCACCTATGGGGAACTCTGGAATGCAACACCAGCCTGAGAGTTCTCTATCTATCCTTCAGATTTTCTGGGTGATGCCCAGAACCCTTCCAGCAGTTCTTGATGCTGGACTACAGGAGCTGTGGTCTGAAATGTTTGGGGGTTTGTAACAGAGCTGCTTCCCTTTCTCGACCAGGTTAGAGTGGGAAAAGCCAGGTTAGATTGGGGTGCATGTGTGGGGGGAAAAGGTGAGCAAAGCAGCCCCTGGAAGTGGGGCCCATTGATCAGCCTCACCAAAGGGGGTCAGCTTAGCCAGCCTGCTTTTCTACTCACACTCCGCCATGACCTCCACTCGTGAGACCTGGGGAATGAGAGGCAGTCAGTCCTGCCATTGGAGGTCCCTATCCAGGCGAGAGAGCCAGTCTCCCCAGGCCAGGCATGGCTGGAAGATGCTGCTGGCCACATCATTCCATGAGTACTTGTGATGTGGTGTGAGGTCATAGGTCTGTGGTTAGAATACCTCTGCCTGCTTCCAGGAGCCACTTTGCAACCTCCAGCAATGCTGGAATGAGCAAACATACAGGATGCGCAGAATAAATGGGTACTGTTTTCAGAAGTGAGATCTGGGGCTGCAGGTGCGCTTTGGGGCTTGTGTCTGGTCCCAAGCCGAACCCCCACTGTGCTGTTGTTGGCCTGCTTCAGGTCATTTAATTCTGGACCAGGGAACAAAGAGCCCAGAAGATGGGTTTGGTTTGTCTTTTTAGGGGGTGGATTTTGCAAGGGAATGTAATCCCGCTTTGTAATTTCCTTGTGCAGAATTCAAGAAACACTCTCAGGGAGACAGAGCGCTGCCTTTAAAATGCAGGTTCTTTCCTTTCCTTTTGCAAATAGGGTATTTAAGATGTGCAAGGGTAAAACATTCCTTCCCTCACCTTCAAATCCCTTTCAAAACAGAAGCTACCACAATACTCCTGTTTTACCCTTTCAAAGAATCCATCTCCCAGCACTTTTTAAATAAACACAAATAGTTATAACTCACCTTCTCTCCACAATGGCAGAGAATGCTTGGCAGCTCACACCAAGTCCTGCTTGCTCCTCAGAAGTATCCCAAGAGGTACCTGGTCCCAAAGCCACCAGGTGAGCTTTACAGCAGTAAGACCCACACCTGGGTCTCCTAGTCTTGATCCAACATTTTAACACCACCCCATTTTTCTACTAGTTTCTCCCACCACTGCTGCTCCCAAATTAGACTTAACTTTTTCTGGCTGGGCAGTGCTCTTAACCTAGTATTTCTCAGCCTTGAGGCTCTGCAGAGGTGTTGGATTGCAAAGAACATGCTGGCTGATGTGAGTTGGAATCTGACTCACCTGGAGAACACCAGGTCTTCAGTTTACAAATTCCTTCAACTTTATCCACTCCCAGATTAAGTTCAACCACCTTCCATCCTTTCCCCTTGAACCCTCAGCTGCAGCAAAGTTCTAGCCCTCATGGAACAAGTTTCCAGTACACCTGTGAAACCCTACACAGTGCATTCACCCAAACTTAGGGATGCTCTCGCAAGCCAAGAATCAGCTGCCAATTCCAAGCTGCTTAAGGGCAGATGGATGTGCCCCCCCACTCCCCCCCATTAACCCAGGCAGACCATTGAGTTGAAATGCAATTAAGTGTTTATTTAAGGCACAGAAGTATAGTGAGTAATAATGCAGTGAGTAGTCATTCTTAACATCTATTAATAAAGAATCAATGAATTGTTTATGACATTGCTTCTTTACAGAACAAGTTCCATTGAAGCATTTAAGTTTTAATTATCTAACCTCTATCTTAAAGACAATTTATTCAGCAAGTCAAGAGCTTTCTCCCCCCCTTAAAGAAATACAAAGTCTTCCTTTTAACTTGGAAATGCTTGAAGAAAAGAAAACAAGTGATTCTAGGAGAGGCACATGAGACATCACACTACTACAAAGAAATTTCATCTGAATTTTTTTGTGCCTAGGAAATCTAAGTTATTTTGCAAAAGGCTTGAGCAATTAAAGAACAAGCCTGTTCTTGAAATAGTATTCTGAGAGCAAAGAAGCCCTTCTCTCAAACTATTCTACTCAATTTCAATGACCTCATCGTCATTTCTGCCAGGGATAAATGGCCCCACGATCCAAGAGAGTGGGGTGTTGTGGATGAGGTGATCCACCAGCTCCTCCACCATCTCGTGAGTTTTGCTGGCCTGCGCCTTGCCTTCGGTCAAGAGGGAACTTGGCAAATCCTGGAAGGACTCAGCAGAGGCAAAGGAAACCTGAAGTTTCTCGATGTTCTCCCGGATGAGCTGAACTTTCTCCTGGAGGTCTTCAGGAAGACCTTGAAGGTTGGCCACCAAAGCAGCGGTGACTGATTGCAGCTGCTGGGCAAGAGTGTGGGACACCTCCAGAGCTTGGGTCTCGAGTTCCTGTAAAGAAATCAGAGTTTGTATTAGGCGGGCAGGGCACTAGGGGAAGGGGTAGCGCCGAACTAGGAGGCTCACAGGCAGCACTGGAAAGCTGGTATGGTGCCACAGCAAGGACTGCTGCAGTATCCTTCTGCCCTCTGAAGCACCTAAGACTGCCGGTCTGGGTTGCCTTCATGTTCTGCACTGGCCCCCGAGTGAAGGAAGCAGAGGGCTGCTCTGCTTGTCAGAACATTTAGGCATTTGGCTTGTGTCTAGGAACTGCAGGACTGCACTGAAATAAACCTAACATGGAATAGTCTCGAAGAGCAAGTGGTTTGTGTTTAGAGAAGGTACTTACATCTTGATCAGTTAATTCCTTTGCACTTGCTGCCTGGGCTTCTTTGGATTCCCACTCAAGCCATGAATCTTGGGGCTGCTGTTGGCCACTGCTTGCAAGCTTCTGGTCCAGCTCTTCCTTGACTTGTTCAATCTGGAAGCACAAAAGAAACAGAACTGTCAGCAAACCCTTTTCCAGGCCAAGTGCTATGAAACACTGACCCCTATGCCTGCTCTAGGGAAAGGCCCATGTTTCTTACCAGCACAATGGTTTCATGAAGCTGAGAAAGGACATCCTGGGTGTTCTCCTTGGCATGCTTCAGCTTGGTCAGGGAGTGCTGGAAGGCACATTGACGGACCTTGCTGGTGAGTGATCCCAAGAGCACGAAGTAGCTCTGCTCCTGCTTCTGCTGCTCCATCTCAAAGCCCTCAACCGAGGTGGCCAGTCCAGCTAGAAAGAGAGAGAGAGAGATGGTTAAGTGTGTTGCAAGGGCAGGATGTGTTTTCTCCCTCGTTGTGGCCCACCTCCCCCCAGAAGCTCGGCTGGGTGCAAGAAAAGCAGCTACAAGCAGGACGAAAAGTCCTCAAGTCAACATTTTGCGAGGGTGAGGAGGGGATGAGAAATCAGAATGTTAAACTTTATTTGTAACAGTCTGAGAAAGGCAAGGGTCACAGGACAGGAAGAATTCTTCAGCCATCACTATCCAGAGACAGCAAATGAAGCTAGAAGGCCACGGTTAAGTCTCGAAGCAGACTGATGGCCTTACCAAGCTCCTCATCTGTCAATGGAAGGTAATAGCGAGACACTTTTGCAGGCTTCCCAAAAACTCCACCCATGCTGCTGGCCACAATTTCTTCCAGGGAAGACACATTGCTGATACCACTGGACACTGCTGCCAGCGCTATCTCCAGTCCCTCCTGGATCTCATCCTTGGTAGTATCATCCATCTCAGTCACGGTGCTGTCGATGTCCTCCTCCACCGAGCCGAGTTCGCTGATGTTGTCGCTAGCTTCAGTCACCATATCTTTGGCATCTGAGGCGGTCTGGAATGATATTTGGTACAATGGTTACGAAGAACAGGACAACCACCTTCCACGTGAATACAAGTGCCAACAACTATAGCAAATTGTTTCCCATGTCTGCAATGCAGTTTTGGTGCTGCTGTGGTGCCAGGCTCACCAACAAATACCATCTGCCACCTCCTTTGAACTTACCTGTTCCCTCTCAGCTGAGCTCCCTTCTAAATTATCTACCTGCCTCATGGAACTGAAGAAATGGGAAATGGCAGCCAGAAGACTGATATTAAGGACAAACATGTTTTGCATGTAGATCAGACTGACTCATGTGTTCCTTAAAAAAATTAATACCCATGAAACACTACTTACTTCAAGGTCTTCCTTGTCTCCTGGAGTGGATTCTGGATCAGAAGCCACTTCCTGCTCTTCCATGTCTCCTTGAGTGGATTCTGGCTCATCAGAAGCCACTTCCTGCTCTTCCATGTCTCCTTGAGTGGATTCTGGCTCATCAGAAGCCACTTTCTGCTCTTCCATGTCTCCTTGAGTGGATTCTGGCTCGTCAGAAGCCACTTTCTGCTCTTCCATTTCTCCTTGAGTGGATTCTGGCTTGTCAGAACCCACCTCTTGGATATCCATCAATGTTGCAAGTGATTCTGGCTCGTCAGAACCCACATCTTGGATAGCCAGTAAAGCTGGAAGTAATTCTGGCACATCAGAACTCACATCAGGGATATCCAGTAGAGATGGAATTGAGCCTGGATCATCAGAACCCAACTCCTGGATATCCACTAATGCTGGAAGAGATTCTGACTCATCAAAACCCACCTCCTGGATATCTACTAATTCTGGAGGGATTTCAGAATCATCAACATCATTTACTCCCTGGATATCCACTAATGTTGGAGGTGGTTCTGGCACATCAAGAGCCTGGGTTGGATCTTCCATGGCAGCTGGTGTATATTCCAGCCCATCAGAATTCACCTTCAGCTCTTCCATTTCTACTTGAGTTGAGTCGGGTACAGCCCTGATTGGAGAAGCCATCGAGGAGAGATGCTGCTGAGGAAGAGAAAAAAAAAGAGAGAAATTAAGTGGTATCTTCAGCACCAGTGCTTGGAGTAAATTCCAGGGTTGTTGAGAGGTCAAGAGTCTGCAGATGCAATGGCTTTGTCCTTGCCTGCAGACTGCTTTTCAGAAGAGAGGAGGAGGAGCAAGGCACATCCCCGCCCCCTTTAGATGGCCCACCCTCCCCAGCTGCTGCCTGGCTATTGGTTGTTGGCCCAGACTTACCTGATCCAACTGGGCCTGCGTCCAAGCTGCCCCCCACCCCAAGGTCCCCCCAAGGACGGACGGACAGCCCCATGCAAGCTTTCTGAACAGAGTGGTCACCCCAAGTGGCTTGAGATAAGGTGTGCAAACTGGCAGTGCCCAAAAGGTGTGGATCAGGCAGGCTGAAGCAGGAGCTCAGCCACATGGAGACAGAGGACTCCAGTTCCCTTTGCCCAGGGAGTTACACTGTTTAACCCACCTGATCCTTGCCACCCTCCTGAGGGCAGATAGAGTCCAAAGTCCCCCGAGCCGCATCCAGAATGGCCTGACCACCTCACCAATGAATCCCCCCCAGTTCACAAAATCTGATTCACCCCTAGCATTAAACAGACAATGCAAGGAAAGCAGTCAGCCTGTGCTAAGCTGCCTCAGTAACATTTAAAGATGTTATTAAGGCTGCAGGACACAGTCAGAAAAGCTCTGCCTTTAACTAGGTCCAAACAACACAATAGCCTCCACTCAAGCACTGAGGTTGGATGAACTGTGGGATATCGTGCTACCAGAACCCAGAAAAATTTGGTGAGAATCCAGTCAACCCGTTCCCTTCATCACTCAAAACTCAATGCAGCCTTGTCATTCCCATGCCAGAATGTACAACTCATTACAGAAAGAAAACTCATTATGGCTATTTAAAGAAGCCACACATATCCAACTAACATTAGATAACTGGAGGCATTCTAATGCAGCTGTAAGATTTGCTACAGGTGAAGACAAAAAATCTTTCCCAACACAGTAAACTCCAAATGTTTTTGTATTCTCAGCCATTAGCCACCTGTGGAAGGCAGCACAGCAGTGAAACATGGAATACTTAATTGTAACATAATAAAAACTAGAAGTTTGGAGAACGTATGCTTTTTCTGCCATTGCTGACACAAGGAAACCAACCCACACAGCAACTAACCAGGCAATCCCCTCCCCCCAGTGAGAACACAGAATATTAAACTTTTACACATGTTCTCACAATTTTCAGAATTATCAGGAGGAAGAGCCACATTGAAGCAATAGATAAAAACTTTGTTTTTGTGTTATATTTTACAATTAAAATGAAAGTTTAGTCTAGAAAAGCACATTATTCATGCAGGTGAGAAAAACAGCTGTTTGACTAGGGAAAAGACCAGGTTTTTTGGAGTGGCAAACCCCTGGCCCTCTTGGGGACCATAACTGGGGTTCCCAGACAGTCCTACCTGTATTCCCCCAATCACCTTTGGGGTGGTTCTGCAGTTCCTGGAGAGATTTTCTCCATGCTAAGGAAGGAACTCCTCTTTGAAGGCTTAATTGCTTTAACTTACAATCCTTTTTGTTTTCAGCTCTACCCCACCCCACCGTCGCTTTGGTTAGTTACAATTACAGTTCAGTTACAAAATGCACACAGAAATTTAGCACCACTTAAAAGCCGTTTTTACTAGGCAAACACTGAGATTTCTGGGTCACTCCGGTCTCCCCCCTCACATACACACTTAAAATATCGCCCTTGGCATCCAACCATCTCCAGGACCTGTAAAGGAAGCAGGCAGCCCTCCCAAACATAAGCAAATAAAACCACTCAGCAATTGTAACAGTGCAGGAAGATGGGTAGTGTAGTTCAGCATGATCTCCAACTCTGTTTGAGAAAAGCACAAAGTAATAAACTATTTGAACCCTGGCCCTTTTCAAGTGAATGTGAGGCTGGTGTTCAAGGTGGAGACAGCTACTATTCAAGTATCTGCTTTATTAAACCCCCATAAAAGCATTGAGTTACACAAACTCCTCTAACCCAAACCCTTCCAGGTGTTTTGGAACCCCACCCCATCCCCCAGCCATGCTGCTGGATCTGTAGTCCCAGCACACCCAGTAAGGTAGGAAAAGAACCCATGACCAAAATACAGCTTGCAGTCATCGAAATACTCTAAGACTGTAATGTCTAAGAGGCAAGCTACAAATGCCCTAAATTAGAGGTTTGCAACCACCTGTCCATGGGACATTTCCCACCGCTGCATCCTGCTCTCCGTCGGGGTGGCTATGCTCCACAACTTCATTTGACATTGCATGTGGGGGGGGGGGGGGTGCCGCCCGGGAGGTGAGGCACACTTTCAGCATTTTATTCTTGTGCGCATTTGTCGCATTTACATTTTTTAATAACAAGTTCAGAAAATAATACACAGAATACAAATACAGCATTGTGTGTGTGTGTGGTGCGTTTCATTTCTGCCTCAGCAGTCTCCAAGGCGGTTTTCCTCTTTTTACCAGTCCCCAGTTGTGCAAAGGTTAAAAACTGCTTGAAAAGCAACCAAACCTATCCCCCAAGCCACCCCCCGGCAGAAACCCCCCCTAAAGTTAACAGTGTACCCACCAGCAAAACGCTGTCCAACTCGATGCCCAGGTTATCCAGAAAGCCAGCCACAGGGTAGTGCGTGCGCGCGCGCATATAAAGGGAGGGCGACTGTCGGAGCCTTCCCCGCAGCTTTCGTAAAAAGGCACCAACAGTAGTAAAATCCCCGCGTATTAAAGACACACACACCCATTCTGGTAGCTATCACAGCTATACGTTTTCACATTTTAAAGAGCAGCTTTAGTTTAAACTCTTGACTCTTTCAGTACAGTCCAAACGTTCCGTTTCACGCAGTGGCTGAAAACGGAATTCACCCGGTTCTCTTTTGGCATGGCTTTAAACATAACCTTTATTTAGGGTGCAATTCAAGGCATGTTGAGACAGGAAAAGTTCTAAAACTCCTGGAGTTGCAGGAAAACCGTTTTCCCCCCCGGAAGGGTGCACTACAAATTTTAAGGGTGAGCGTGCTGCAAATTTTAAAGAATTTGCCCGTTCTCTAAACGCACAAAAGGGCACAGTTCTGGTATAGTTAGGAAAGTAAGAAACCAAGCTTAAGTACTTGCAAGAGGATACTGCGGTACAGAACTTCAAAAGAATTTGACTTTGCCGGTAGTGACTCATGTTAGCCAATCGGTTTTGTATCCGCACCCCCATCTCGCTCTAGCGGCTGAACACTGTTTCCCAGCAAGTTTTATTATACGCAAGCACCCCAGCTTCAGAAAACCCCTCCAGATACCCTTCAGGAAGACCCTTAGAGAAGAAGCGTTCTGCCGTTAACCCGGAGAGCGGGTAGACGGTCCCCGCTCAAGCCTTAAGTCCGCTGGTGCGATTCGTTTTAGCCTAGCTTAGCGCAAGCCAGCGCGCAGAAGCCCCCTTCGGCAAACACTTCTGGAGTTGAGGGGAGCTTACCTGGCCCATCCGGACGCCTTCTGGCTGTGCTGCAGTGCGAGTCACACCGCTCTCGGCCAGCAACACGCTGGGCTACAAACCGCTCGGCACGGAGCTTGCAGTCCAGTCGGAGCGCACCGTTGCACGAGCCGCCGCAGCAAAAGACGCGCGGCAAGCGAGAAGCGGAGCGAGTGCAGCTCAGCCCGAAGGCGCCCGGCGATTCCCCGCCTGCCAGGAGGGCTCCACGTCCACAGGGCGGCTCCAAACTTACCAGCGTTGCGAGTATTTGCAAGGCTACCGTGTGAATGATCCTAGCCCTCGTGCGTACCTCAATTTATGCGCCTGAGTGACTCGCCTCTCACGCGGTGTGATCAGGCGCAAACGCGCGCCAGGTGGGCTCCGACACCTGGAACGGAGCCCGGAGGTTGCGCAGAAAACCCGGAGACGAGGTCAGCGCGGTCCTGAAGCGCGCACAGGTGGCCCGGAGCGGCTTTTCGCTACTCGCCGAATCGCCCCCGCCCCCCCACCCCCGCTGGAGCCGAAAGTGGAAGCGGACGATGCGTGGCGCGCGCGGAGCGGGGCGCAGGGCGAGATCGGGAACGGGACGTGCTGCCCGGCTTGCAGTCAGCTCCCATCATGCGTACCCCGGTTGTGGGTGCTGGGGGCAGGGGTGCCACAACGTCTGAGGGTCATCCAAAGAGCATTGACTCCAACCCCGGACCCCCGCTCCTCGTGTCCTTTCTAGCTGGAGTTGATGGGGGTTGTTATGTCACAGCATGTGGTGGGTTCAACTCCCTTTGCTCGCCCCTGGATCGGGGAACCCGGGGTCCTTCAGATACCAGAAATACCGGTCTCCATCATCCCCAATGCGGTTCCCTTTGGCTGGGGATGATAGGGCTTGGTATGCTGCAGCATCTGGTAGAACCCTTTCCCCAGGTTGCCTTCTGGCTTGAGGAATTGGAGACCCTTTAGATTACAACTCCCATCATCCGTTGGGGTTGGTGTTCCCAACTATGCTGTCAGTTCTTTCACCATCAGCATCAAGGGATGTTTTTACCCACTTTTCAGCCAAAAGTGCTCCCAAGTGTTATTGGTAATAATGTAGTAATAATAATAGGCACTCCCTGTCCTCAGGATTATAATCAGAAAGATATGGTATTAAAAGAAACATGACTGGGAGGGAAAAGGAAAAAAAGCACAATTCAAGCACCAGTTTCAAAGTTCTTAAAATTCATATCATTCAGTTGGCTTATGGGAATCCAACGTTACAAAACTGAGTTCATCTCAGTATATGTTTGCATCAAGTTCACATAAAGCCAATAATATTGAATAAACCTCAAATGTTGGTTCTCCAGCTTAAACAAATCACTGGTAAACGGAAAAAATTCTTGAAACATACAAAATTTTTGCAACGTGCAAAAGCTGAGTGGGAGAGCCCCCTCCTCTTACTGAAAGAGCCCAAATACGAAATGTTTGTGCTCAAATAATATTTTCTTGGCACACCTTGTTTCAAAAGTTGGTATGGGTTTTGTTTTGTTTCATTTTGCTTTTACTAATACTGTCAATGTTCTAACAGGTCCTAAAGTTACATATAGTTTATTTGCAAAAATGCTTATCTGAAACAATTGCAACCTATTACTTTTATTTGAATAGTCTTTTCTTCTAATTGCCTTATTGAAATTGGTTTCCCATGTACAAATAAGATTATTAGAAAATGATTGTATAGGAGTCACTAATAAAAAAAAGCTTTAATCTCAATTTTGTATAAAATATTGCAAGATGAGTACACCAGTTATATGGGAACAAAAACAGTATGGGAAACAAATTTAAATATTAAAATACCAGAAAAAGCATGGACAAGAATATGAAACACTCAGTTACACGAATCAGTATTGGCAAAATCTATGGTAGTGAAGACAATTCATAGATGGCATTTAGTCCCCACAAAACTTCATAAAATAAATAAGAAAGTATCAGATATGTGTTGGTGAAATTGTGGGGTAAAAGGGTCACTTGAACATATGTGGATATTTTGTCCAAATGGGATTATTCTAGAAAGAGGTAATTAACTGGTTAGAAAAGTTAACACATTTTTTTAAAAACCCTTGTAATAAAACTCTATTCTCCCTCTTTAAGGGTGGGAACAAGAATTTAAATAATAAAGAGCTGGTAGAGATCCTCACAGGAGCCAGGAATTAGAAATTGCATGTAATTGGAAATATGTTAGGAGGCTCACCTTTTACAGGCATTTAGGAAGGGAAATTGCTCTAATGGAGAAATTGATTACACAGGCTAGAATCCTGAGAGGTAAAATAAAAATATATAATTTCATTAAAATTGGGCACCCCTTACTAACGTCAAATATGGGATCAAATTTTGAAATAAATAAGCTGGGGAACCCACCAGTATATTGGTGTGCTGTTTATTAAGTCTATAACATTTTTTGTATTTGTGACTATTGATTTGTGGAGTAGATTTGGTATAGAGATGTAAATAGAATTATTGTAATACAGAAGATGTACATGCTGCAAGAAGAGTATATGCTTTTGTTATTGTTAAGGATTGTCAAATGATTTAAAAAGGAACAAAAACTGGCGTAGGCTGCTATACTCCGCTGCTAGCTCCTGTGTCTTTAATGCTGCTTGGCGTTTAACAGGCTAATGGAGGGAAGTAGAAGGCAGAACAAGCTATACCTGGTCAGCTTCTGCTTAGGACCTGCAGCTGCAGAAGGAGAAACTGTAATCTTTCTTCCCAACTCAGTGCCCTCCACGTGTGTGGGACTACAGCACCCATTGCCCCCAGCTTTTTTTGATTTTGCTACTCCTTTGTGGTACAAACTGAAAACATGTGACAAGGGAAGTGTTTGCCAAGCTTAGAGCTTCGCCCAAAAATGCATTAGTGTTAGTGGTGTTTTAAGTCTTGCTTCTCATCAAAAGGTGACATAAATTCAGTGCAAAACTAGATTATTTTTTAATTAGGAATGTGCTTATTAGCTGTCTTGATCTCTGTTTTGGGGTAGCCAAGGCAAGTTGTGCAAATTTGTTTTTAGGATGAAATGGAGAACATGAGTTTGAGTTCTGGCCGAATGCTTCTTCAACCAGAGAAAAAGCATTCAGCCAGACCCAAGAGGGTCTTGCTATTTTGTGACATTTTAGTTGGCTGTGATATAAGGAATATTACACTATTTTTGAGAAGCTTCAGGGATGGGTGCAGCCAAGGCCAAATGACAGTTTTGCTTTTTCTGCTGATAAGAGCGTCTCAGGAGAGAGATAGGAAGGGACAGAAGTGGCAAAAAACAAAACCAGGAACGCTCCATATCCTTCTGGAGATTTCTCTCCCCGTTGGCTGTCTGTAATTATAATTTTATGCTCTATGTTGAAGGATCATGATGACCTGGATGATGGAGGCTGTGCCTGATTGTCTGTCTCTGGTGTGTGTGCAGGAGCAACACTGCAATCTTGGCCAGTTTCAGTCATGTGGATCTGATGACCATCGAGGGATCTGCGCAATCTCTGAGCAATTCCACCTTCACACAAAACCCTGGTCCACAGCTAGCTGACAGAGCACTGAGGCAGGCAACTGCCCCCTTTCCTTTAAGTTCTGGGCGCAGAGATGGGCAAAAGATGGCAGGATCTTTGTCACACCTCTGGGAGATGGGGTGGAGGTCAGAGCAGGGTTTTACAGGGAGTGCCAAGGGACCATGACCAGCTGGGTTCCAGGTTCAACATTCGCCTGGATCTACTCCTCCACTTCCCCACTGCAGCCCACTCGTTCACCCCCACTTCCGCTGGCTCAAAGGAGGAGCAGAGATGCCTCGGCCTCTGAGCTCCTGGGCTCTTCCCCTGTTGTGCCAGAAAGAGCGAGCCAGGCTGGAGAAGAGGAGGAAGATTCTCTGGTGTGCAGGGCGGCAAGCGGGGGACTCATGAAGAATGGGGCATGGAGGACCCACAAGACACAGATCTGGCACTGGGGTTAGGACTTCCAATGGGCTGATGCAGCTAGACACCTGCCAGCCTCAATAAATCCAGCGTTTGTGCACCACCAATTCTGGCATAGGATCTGGGGCAGCCAGGGGTGAAGCTTGGTGTCTGCCCGCTTCAACACATCGCTAGTCTTGGAAGGTGCTCTGACTAACCCTGTGTTTTCAGGCATTCAGGGTGTGTCTTTGGGCAGATTGTGGGTGCCATGAAAAAGGAAACACACCAAGGAGACCTGACCAAAAGTACCCTTTGGAGCATGGTAGAGCTACTGCAGGTCCACTCAGCTGTGGGAGTTGATGCCCCACACATCTGGAAGACAGAGGTTTTGGGGGGAGTGGGAAATGCATTTGTGATGGTCCAGGTAAGGTACTTCACCTATTGGTGTCTTCCGGGTGTCAGGAGAGAATGCCAGGTGGGGAAAGCAGATCAAAGGTTTCATAATATCCTAAAATCCCTTCTCAAATTATCTTTTCTTCACACTGTTTTCACCCAATCCAGGACGTTCCATTCCCTGCATAATTCATCTACTTTTCTACCCCAGTGCATGAAGTGTGCCAAAGACCAATTCATTTTCTTCGTAAGGACTGAAGGGACATAATCCTAACAACTTTGAAATTATGGTACAGAGTAGTTTGCAGAGTAGTTTCTGATTTTTAAATGACCTTTTTAAATTCAAAGAATAAAGCAAAAGAAGATATACATGAAAATAAAACAGGAACACGATTATTTGAGACCTGGGATTTCTTATTGTTGATTGTTAAAATAATTTTGTGTGTGCATTGTCTGTTTATATGTAAATAGGTTTTATATTATGTACAATATTGCTTTTTAAAGGCTTTTACCCTTCGTAAACTGCCCATGGAGTGTCGCCTACTGGGTGATAGAGAAATGCAAAATGAAATGAAATGTAGGAGGTGCTAGATTTAACCTTGCAGGAGAGAATCATATTCAACATAGAATAGCAGAGTTGGATGGGGCCATGAGGGCCATCGAGTCCAACCCCCTGATGTTGCAGGACACCAAGTCACACCATCCCGCTCAGGTGGCATT